CACCTTGACATCTGTAGCTGCTGCAGGCTACATGATACCCGGCACGTACAGTAAACATCTCAAAGTCATTATGATGGAGGTCATATGACCGTTCTTTTGTTATGATGAATGTACTGAAAATCTCAAAAGCATCTACAAAGACGTTCCATGCCATCTCTTCAATCAAATCTCCTCGAATCAAACGTACTAAGAAGAGAGAAGTAAAAAATTTGAGTTTTAATCTGGGATACACAAATCATTTTTAGGTAAACAAAGCTTTAAATCATACCTATCTGCTTGTAATTCACCTGCAAGGTGAAACAGCAGGACATGACCCATCTTCAAAGACTGTATTTGCCCCTGAAGTTTCGGTGAAGTGATGGCATAGCACTCCTGCTCATGTCCTTTGATGAAACATCAATGGGGGTGATTTATTTGTTTGGGAAGAGTGATACTGTCTACTTCCATGTGGCTACAGCCCGTTGAACATTTCATTGTGAGTCATTGTCAACTGCACTGCCTGCTCTTATTACTGCGATACTGTAATTAGGCTCATATACAGTCTCATTGACATTGAGAAAATGCACTTACATTGCTAACGTCAAGATTTGATGTGTAGTGGGCGTTTTTGACACACTAGCTGACGTTAAAGTAATGCTTGGTCTTCTATATGTTTGCGCGAAGGGGTAAGACGTGGAGGCAGGTGTGTAGGAGACATAAAAGACATGGTAAAGAAGGTTGTTCGCTTTCAAGCATGGATGCAGGTACGATCTGAAAATATAACACCTATGAACTTTGTTTAGCATAAAAGAAAACTTTTCCAAGTAGCCTTTAGCTATAGTAGGACTTTTATAGAAGGGCATCTGTTCAATCCATGGCCGATGCTACTAGATTTATCTAGATACTTCCTTCTGTCCTAGGTATGTAAGATCTCTTTGGCCTTGGATGCTCATATCGTCCACATGAGAAAACAAAATACAGCTAATTATCTTGATGAAACCTCAATAATGTTTCTATCTATCATCAAACTAAGTTGGATAATTGTCCTCGTGAGATAGCAATATTTAAATGCATCACTCTGCTGCAAGATATTTGCAAAATAATTAGACTTGTAAAAAAAAACAGGTATTTAACTGCACAGCAGTTGGTGTAAAAATACATCCATGACAACTGATACTGCGAAAAGAGAGAAAGATGGAGAGGTTGTTGTGACACAAACAGTCATAGCAAAAGGAGAGAGCTTATCCTCTGAGATTTTAACTTGATGTTTGGGTCCTTCCTCAAGGGGCTGTGAGACAGACAGAGGAACTGGACTGGGAAATTAAGAATAAACAGACAAGTGGGAGTGCAGAAAGCGAGATCGACAATAACAGAGGGTAAATAGAAAGTATGGGTGATTGCCACTGACCGCACGGTAGAGGTAAATATGAAGCCTTCTGCTAGTCAACACAGTCACAAATCTGAGCACCGTTTGAGATATTAAGATGCCACTGAAGCTCTACAGAAGACATATTTGAGACTACAAGGGTCTTGTTCTCAGGTGAAACACATGAGAAACATTAGACTCCATTTGTTCTGCATTTAATATCACTGCATTCTAGGAGAACAGTTGAGATGGTAGAGATATCTTGCTACGTATATCTATACTTTTGAGCTAGATGTTTACAGGTCTTTTACCCTTGTAATAATTCTTCCTGAAATGTCTCCCTTAGTAGCTTGGGTCTTCTTTTCTAAGTATTATAGAAATATTATCTTTTGGTCCAGGCCGACTGTCCCTGGTTTATTTTTTTGATCTTGTTTGTCGTTCAGTTACTCACTTCCTGTCTGTCGTGGACTTATGTTTCCTTCTAAATCCCATCCGTCGCTCGTTCTCCATGTGGTCACGGCTCTTTGCTCCACATTGATTGCGGCAATGCTGGATCGAAACATCATTTTCATCTTTGCTCCGTTCGCTCACATCCACTTCCATCCAGCCCTGCTTGTTTTCATCTGGTGTTGAATAATCACAACTGACCCCTGCCATATAGCGGTATGTTCTTGCACAAACCTATCTGTCTATCTGTCTATCTGTCTATCTGTCTGTCTCTCTGTCTCTCTGTCACTGACTTCATCTCTATGTGGAAATCAATGTAAAGAGCTCTGATAAATCCTTTAGGAGATGTCACTTCAGAATAACACGTGCAGAAAAGAAAAAGAAACGGCTTACCCCACACCCTGATGCTTATTATACTCTACTTCTTTACTTCTTATTTTACATCTTTCGTTCTGTCTTATCTGACTTTCTGATTTCATTTAATATCTGTCTGCCTTATTCAAATTACATCACACATCATCTTCAATTTCTATTTCCTGTCTTTTTCTCACTTTCCCTCTAATAATAGTTTCCTTTTCATCTCTTTCTGTTTCAACCTGGTTGATGAAAAAGGATGTGATGTGAAGTACATATGTGTAGAGTTTTTCCAAGTTTTGTTAACCAGTAGAGATTTTGGAGTATCGTCTCTATTGCAGTTACATGCTTATGTGATGTTGCTGTGCTACATGGTCACGGAAATGTATCGTTTGCATGCATTTTTAAGCATTGTGGATTAAAAACAAACAAGTGATTTTAAGTCGCTGAAGCGCAATCAGCAGTGAAAGAAAACTCATTATGTTATATGTATGTCTGGGAGACGGTTTCTGTGTGCTGTCAGAGAGATGTGCACATGTGGAGACGGTTAGTTATTTTTGCCTCTTTATAGGCCTTGAACGGTTAAATATTCACACTTGTACGTGTCAAAATGCTCATCTTTGCAAGTATCCTCGTAAACACAGTAATTTAGGTCTTAAGTGAAAGCAAACAGCTGAGAAAGAAAACACATATGTGACCCTGGACCACAAAACCAGTCTTAAGTCGCTGGGGTATGTTTTTAGCAATAGCCCAAAAAAAAAAAACAACCTTGTATGGGTCAAGAAATTTTTCTTTTATGCCAAAAAATCATTAGGATATTAAGTAAAGATCATGTTCCATGAAGATATTTTGTAAATATATTAAAACCTACATTTTTGATTAGTGATATGCATTGCTAAGAACTTCATTTGGACAACTTTAAAGGTGATTTTCTGAGTATTTAGATTTTTTTTTTTTTTTGTACCCTCAGATTCCAGATATTCAAATAGTTGCATCTCGGCCAAATATTGTCCTATCCTAACAAACCATACATCAATGGAAAGCTTATTTATTCAACTTTCGGGTGATGTATAAATCTCAATTTCGAGAAATGTACCCTTATGACTGGTTTTGTGGTCCAGGGTCACATATGTAACAGTAAATTGGATCCAGGCAGCTCTTAAGATGACAGCAGTCTAATATTCCAGCTGTCTGTCGTTCATGTTAATCAAACAACAAAAGAGGGAAAATCTCTTACTGCTCTTGACTAAATCACTTTCGTAACTCTGAAAGAACTCTGAAAGAAATATGTTTAATTTATACAATGAAGAATATGCAGTATTTTTTATACATTTGATTACTTTATACCAGGGTTCCTCAATTAGTTTTTGCTGAGGGCCAAATTCTGCCAACAACACCAAGCCAAAGGCCACAAGGGGGGGATCAAACTGTAACACCATGTGTCCCAACCAGACACGACGTGACGCAATCTTTTCCATGTAGTTTTTGTCCTAACCACCCGCAACAGCGACACGTGACAACAAGCGACACGGATTACATTTTTTTAAAATGTTTTTTATTTTCTACGTAATCGCGGCAGGAACAACATACAACATATGACAGTGATAATCTCAGGTAATAATCTATTTTCCATGTCCACTTTTCTTCTCACTCGCCATGTTTTTGCTGTCACATCGTATCTACACTGGACGCAACAGCATTGCAAATCATTTGAACTTTGTGTCAGTACGTCATAAATAGAACGAGTCAGCAGTTTACTGTTGGAGATTTGTCGTGTCCCGCCATGCCACATCCAGTGTAGACAGCATAACTGATTATAATGGGTTTTATTGTATTTTGTTGCGTCACGCTGCGCCACTCGCATCCGATGTAGACACGATGTAAGTTAATGTCGCTTTCTGATGCAGCGTTTGAATTTTCATGCCACATTATGTGAAATTAGCGTGGGCCAAACATTTTTCTCTCACGGGCCGGATGTGGCCTGCGGGCCGCCTATTGAGGAACCCTGCTTTATACAATGTATGTAGCATTTCATATTTATTTGTTCTTCTGTGTCCTATTGCTTGTAATTAGTTTCTTATTCTTATTTAATCGCTGACTGTTTACTTGTCTTCAGTGAGATTTTTTGTGATATTGACACTGGTGACACGAATTATAAAATTTCTTTGGTATCAAAAATATTGATATCATAAAGACCTTATCTAAAGCAAAAATAACTATATCGTGATACTGTTAATGTGAAATAAAATTCATAACTCATATCTTGATATAAGATTTTGGTCATATCGCCCACCCCTAATTGAAATAGTTTGTCAAATTATCTGACCTCAATTACATTTTAATTTGTATTGTGGTGACATTTAAGAGGTAAGGTAAAACAGTCCAGTCCATTTTGTCCCTTTCAGTGGAACTGTGCCTGTTAGAGGCAGGCAGTATAGGAAATAGTGTAAATGCATTTCCAATTTGTTGATATGAACAGGCCAGTTTCGCCACAGTAAATTTAATCTAGATCTTTGCTTTTTTCAGTTGTATATGTTACAGCTACTCGTCAAGTATTCATTCAGATGAAAGCATATCTCGTTCTCATCTGCTGTCTAAATTTAAAATCTTTTTATGGTTACTGCCAGACGTGATTGTGTGTGCTTTTGTACTCTGGGAAAATCACAGCTTATATGCTAAGGATAAAAAAGAAAAAAAAAACAGTTTTGATGCTGTTGACAAATCTTCAGGCCGTAGAATGAAGTGTGTCTGTGTGTGCATGATAACAAATTGGGATCGCTAGGACTATTGCATGCAGTCTGTTTGTTGAAATGTAATCAAATTCTTATTGTTCTTTTCCTCCATTTTTCCCCAGTGGACTTTCACAGAAGATGTGGGTGTTTTGAAGGCAGGGTCTTCCCTGGTTGGTTGTGAAGATCTAAGTAAACAAAGCTTGTTACTGTGGCATAACTGAACTTTGGATCTGAAAAGTGGCAGCAGAGTCCTATTGAAACAGGAAGCCTCCAGAACCATCCAAAATATCCTATAAAGATGGAGTTCAAATTAAACCTTGAATGCTGATTTATTAGAGTGAAAAGGTAAGAACTTTTTAAATAGCACAAACCTCTTGTAACTCAAAAAAAAACTTTAAAGTGAATAGATCTCTTAAACATCTTTTGCTCTTAAACATCAGAGCTAATGATAATGGTGCAAATGTTGTGCTAAATATGGTGATGTTCTTTTGTGTAGCACCTACACTCTGCATATTGTTCTGCAAATAGTGCTTAAAGGTGCAATAGGTGATTGTCTTCAGAAACATTTTTTGTTATGCTGGTTGAAAGTCTCTTCACATCCCGATAGCAATCATTAAGTTAACTGGTCTAAATGTATTTATCTGTATTTATATATTCTGTGGAAGGCATAGGACCAAGAAATGTTAATCCAATCAAAACGCTTGGTCCGAGCGTTTTAATTCGCTTTCCTACCTGCCTGTCAATGTATGTATTAGCATACCTCTGTGCACCCTGTTCGCGCAGACAGAGTACGTCATCAGCACATTCACGCACGCTGTGCAGACAGAGCGAGAATGACAGACAAACATCAACAACCAGATCTTCCTTCCTGGTATTGTAGTACTTTTAAAGTTTTCTCACTGGTGAATGACGCATGATGTAGCCCAGCGGTTCCGAATTCCAGTCCTCGTGCCCCCGAGTTCTGCATATTTTGTTTGTCTTGCTTAGTTAACACGCCCGATTCAGGCTAAAGTTAGCATTTTCCAAGATCTCCTACTGCACCTTTAATCGTTTTAGTCTGACTTAAATGGTTAAGCACTATGTGCAACTTAGGGGTGTGCGATATATATCGTCTGCAATAATATCGTAATTGTTGTTTTAACGATGTGCGATTTGACATTATCGAGTATTTGGCAAAAACCATTCAAAACATCCCTACAGAGCGCACACATACATTACGTGAAGTCTAGACTAGTGCGTGTGTTTTCTTTCACTGCACGATTCAGTCTATTAAAATGCATTTAGAATGATCACAAAGACATGATGGCAGAAAATGTATATATTTATACCACTTCATATAGTTATTCAATTTCACACGAAGAGTGCCGTTTTTCTCCAAAAAATGTGACATTTGAATTCAATAAACCATAAGTTAATTAAGAGACTTACGTTTTAGACACCATATTGCTTGTTTTTGCTCTATTTCGCCAACAAAAATCATCCCGAATACAGCCACAGTGCTGTTTTGTGTCTCTGAGCAACATGACGGTGTTTCGTTCTTGAATGAATCAACCGTTTAAATGATTCGGTTCAATCGCAATGACTCACTTATTAAGAGGGATTTGCTGTCACCTGCTGGCAGTTTTAATTTCAAATTTCGGCTTTTTCTTTTTTTTTTATAGATTTTTTTCATGTTTTAAATAATTTCAAATATCAGTATTCAACATTTTATGTTTAATATATCAAAACATTATTTATGCATTTGTAATTGCAGGTTAAATGCATCACGTCTTGCATTAAACAAAATACATGTGTGTAAATACATCTAAATGCCACTTCAGATGCAGATTCTGTGTTGATTTAATTTGCTTGGTAACAGCCCAAATGTCTTATTATTCAAATTCCCTGATTAAATGTAAGAATTTGACTCAAAAGATAATGGACACTTCTAGAAAAATTGGCTTTATAAAGGTAAAAATGCCCATAAAATGTAAAAACCTGTTTAAACTTATTGGAAAATATTAATTTCTATCAGTATGAACTGACCACCACAAAGCATATGAAGAATATTAAAAACATTATGAGTCAGCTGTCTTCGGCAGTCCTTAAGGTACCAGCACAATAACACACTCTGCAAAATATCATCTAATTATCGTCATCGATAAAATCCCAGAAAATATTGAGATATAATTTTTTGTCAATATCGCACACCCCTAGTGCAACTACATAGCTTTGTATTACAACATGTTTGCTTATATAATTAGCTTTTCCGTAGAGGCGTGTATTTGAATGATTTGGCAGTTATTAATGATATTGGACATCATTGTAAACCGCAGCCCATGCAAAGTGCTGTTGCAAATTTTCAGTTTCTTTTAAAGTTAATATGAACAATTTTAGTCCATCTTCTATATCTGGCCATTATATAAAATTTGTAAGGAAAATAATGCAATACTATATAACTGTACTTCAAGAAAATTTTTAAATATGTCAGCGCCAATAGCCTAGTGGACAGTGTGCTGACATATAACGTTGTTGCGTTGCAGGCATCCCGAGTTCCAATACCTGCTTTAGGGCCTTTCCCGATCCAACCCCCCCCCCACTTCACATCCTGATTCAATTACTTAAGTACATGTGTACTGTTTTGATCAATAATTTTTAAGTAATAATTAGAAGTTAATTTTATTTTGGGTACTTTAGTAGAGTGTTCCACCTGTGTCATGTTCAAAAGCCTTTAAAAAAAGTTATACAAATCATTAATTCTCAATTCCCAGTCCTACTGATAAATGCACACAGCTGTGCCAGCATAATATTTTTTTTATCCAGCATGTAATGGTCCCAGCCAAAGGTGCAATTTGCTTGGATAGGAATACCTCGTATTGCCTCATATCTCTCTCTTTATCATTATCTCTCTATTTGTCAGGCAGTCATGTGATAACTTTTTGTCTGATGCTCAACACATTTAGGTACACACTTACTCAGAAATCGCCAGACAGTCCCTGCTGTTCTCCTGCTGTGATTTCTGTTCCGACTCTGAGGTCCAACCGAGAAAGTCTGCCAGCCAATGGGGGGACAGTTACTGTACTTGAGTCTGTGTGTATGTGTGTGTTGGTGCTGAGTGTGTTCGGCACACTGTAGTAAAGTAATGTTACATTGAACCATTCTCCTTTAATAAAGAGAAAAATGTGTTAAAATATTTTTCAGCAATATAACGTCCAATAAAAACCGTTGTTTCTTGTTCCAATGACATCCTGCACAATGGCAATAGAAACTTCAGTTAAACCAAGAGCAAAAAAACTAATATACCTCATATATCCACATTGTAAGTAATTAACCTATGCTGTCATGGCTGCAATAATGGCTTGTAAATGCGTAAGGCAGAGGTAAACATTTCACATAAATGAGAACCCAAAATTCTGCTGTGTGTTATAGTGCTTTTTCACATTTGTCTTGATTCACAGTGGTTCCAGAAGGCGGGATTTATTTGCTTGCTTGTCTTTAGCTCCAGTTTCTTCAAGGGATTTTCTTTTGTTTGACAGAGTTTGTAGCTTCTCGTCAGGGTTCAGAAGCAAAGGGCTAGTCATTGTAGGGTAGCCGTCAGTCAGTCCACGTTTCAATAACTTGAATCGTGCATGCTGAAAATATATTCACTTAGTCCCTAAGGAAAGAGCCAAGAGAGAACGGGTGAAAAGAAAAGCATTCTGATCAGATTTTTATCCACACTGAAGATACACTTACTACAGGGACCGTAGAATAAGAAGTGGACTGAAAACGAAATGGTTGTTGGTTGCTTGCATCTTTGCAAGGGTTGATCAGTGAACGATCACCATTGTGTCTTGCACCAGACTGTGCTGAAGACACAACAGCGATAGAACAACACTTGCAAGGATGCAAGGAACTTGCAACCTTTTAGTTACCAGCCCAGCTTAAGCCTGAGTTTGTCTTGACAAAATCTGGTTCGCATTCAGTTTATTCTAGTCAAGAAATGCCTAAGGAGACGGCCTAACTGACATATAAAGCTACCAAGCTCAATTTGCTTTTGTGTAATTTGATGCCAGTAATCTGGTGACCCTTGGCAAATCAAGTAATACATTCTTTCTCCAGAAGGACTTGTTGAATCAACCTGTTACCTTGCAAACATGACAGTTTCAAAGCTGACTGATAGAAAAACCTGTGTGCCTTTATTCACAAATGTTGCAGAAATCCAGCCAATCAGATTAGATCTTGTCAGATCGAGAAAGTCCAATCCAGTTTTGTTTGCAGTATGCATATTCTGTGAGCCTCCCACTTGAAGCTGAGGACTTACCGCTAGGTTACACCATCCCAATTTAAACTGCAGGGTGGACAGTTTTAAGAACCCCTATCTCCCAATGAGCATCTCAAAGGTCCGAGCAAGGTCTAGCGGGTAAAGATTTGGGGTCGTACACTCAACTGTGATGACCTGCTGACGGAGACTCGTAGATATTTTATCCATTAGCCCTTTGGGAAAGCACTGTAACTGTGAGTGTATGAGTGTTTTCTCTTCACTGTGTATCGTCTCCATCTCCTACCATACACCAGTGCTCCTGTCAAATCTACTTGTTTGCACCCCAGATTGCCTTGGCGACATGTTGCCTCTTGTGCAATGAGGTGCCCCTAAGTGTGTGTTGCTGTGTGAGAGAGACTGCTTGGCAAGTCGAGCGTATGTGTGTGGCTCTGATGGGAACAGCTGATACATGCTAGTTTCATTTTTCGGCAGCTCCACCGAAGATAAGAGGCTTTCGGACAGACTGCTTGGGACTTTGTGTGTGCGCTCGGTTATCCAAGATAAATTCAGGCTTGTATGGGATTGTGTTAGCGGCCAATTCCTTTCTTCTCTCTACTTCTGTCCTGACTCCTTAGGCTCACGGCGGCATTTTTTACCTGGACGTCTTACCAAGGGCTTCTTCACCTTGGAGCGATAAAGACCAATTTGAATATCATGATAAAGACTTGCCCAGTTCTTCAAACCAAAACTCATTTGAGACTTGTTAATGAGAGCAGCAGGTTACTTCTTGCTTTGCTGTTTGTTCATTTGTTTGTTGTGTGAGAAACTGAGCCAAGCCCGATGGAGTGGAACCCTGCCAGTCCCGGTGGAATGTTTCCATTGACTGCTCAATCATTGGCTAAGACACCTGTCTGGGGACCAATGAGAGGGAGTTACCGGGCAGAGCTCCACCCATGGCCCTTAGGATTCCACGCTAAGCTATTCCATCTCTCTCTAGTAAATGGCTAGCCAGCACTAGTTGCCAGGTGCTAGTTCCCCTCTCCAGCAATCAGTCAGGCATGTAGGCAACCCTATTGTATGCCAACCTATCTCTTCAATAAACGTCCATCTTACACCCCCCCCCCCCCCCCCCCCCCCCCCCCCCCCCCCCCCCCCCCCCCCCTCCCTTAACCTCGCTTGTTAAGCCAAATGCCTGCACTTCCCCTTAAGTGGGGTCTTCACCTTCTTGTACAGCACCAGAGTTGCTATTGCTGCTCAACGTTGGGGTATGAGGGAAAAGGATTGTGCCAGATCAGTGTAAATTGGCATCTTCTATTGGTTTCCAGGGATGGGGAAATCTTCTGTGGCTTCTCCACCCCAGTGGCTCATCTGCATTAGCGTCGTGCTAATCTTATTAGCTTCTTGTTATTGAATCCTGCAGGATTTTTGCCTGCTGCTACGTGATGCTGCATATTATACAGTCCTCCCTCCGCTGAGCCGCAGGATATAGAGGGGGAGAGAAGAGTCGAGGAGACCGGAAGCAGAAAGGATAGAAAATTTGACCGGCCTTCCACTTAAGTACATGTTCATCGTGATATATCTTACCTGTCATGTGCTTGAGCAAATCGCTCACTGTGTGAACATTTGCGTGTTTCCTGGCTAAGTGTTGAATATCTTTTTTTTATTTTTTTCTCGCTTCAATTGAAGGCTTTTCTAAATCATTTCTTTCTCAGGGGAAATGCATCAGTCTCTTTCCCTCTTTCTGTCTCTCTCTCTCTCTCTCTCTCTCTCTCTCTCTCTCTCTCTCTCTCTCTCCCATCTAAAGGGAGTAGGCCAGTGGTTCACAACCTTTTTTCCTCATACGTTTAATAGCCTGCGCATTGACAACAGCAATTTTTATTCACAGCTAGCTTAGATATGATGGGCATCTTTACTTGGAACCCTGTGTCTGTGTGAGTTTAATGATAGCTATTTCTGCCTTGAATCTGTCATGTCTTTTACAACCAGTTCAGTGAATGCAGAGAACTTTATTTTTTATACAAGCTGTATTTTGTCCCATATTTAAACGTTTTATAGTTAATTACTGCTCACAGAGGATGTCTTATGCATATACACAGACAATTAAATAATAACACTGATATGTCTTGTGTGAACGGGCTGTCTGAGGCTGCAAAAATAGCACAATTTTGTAAACCAGCAATGCAGCAATGCAAAAATCAATCCAGTTCACTCTGTGGCAGCTGTGGGGTAGAATACATCTCAGACATCTGTGGCTTACACGTGACTGTTGTTCTGCTGCTCTCAGTAATTCTTTTTGGTTGGAGCGAATCAACTCAAAGTGATTAATGACCAGATGAGTCTGAGCTGAAGATGCCACTCGACCTCTTGAATTCTGCTTGACTTTGTAAACAGTCGCTGTAAATTACAGCTGTGCTTTTGATGACCACAAGCAGAGACCACATTACCCAGCACTCGGATCCCTGCACTGTCACTATTATTTAAGGGGAATTGTAGAATTGAAGACTGATGTGGGGTCAGTTGCTCCTCTACCCCACTGTGAAGATCATTAGTAATTGCATAAACTCGTCCCAGAACAGCTTGTTGTAGTCCACAAATTAAGTTTTACACAAAACATTTAAGTGTAGGCTATAGGAAAAATATTTTACATTTTCAGTAATTACATTTTTGGTTTTGTATGTTGTCATATGAATATATGGCACAAGTCATATGGAACTTCCATTGTTTATCGATCTTTTTTATATGTTTTGGTGCTTGGCAGTTTACATCACAATTGACATTCATTGGATAGAAACAAACAGCTTGGACATTCTGCTCAGTATCACCTTTCATGTTTAACGGGTTTGAAAACAGGATTTTTATAGTTTTATATTTTATTTTTTATTTGTCCTTTGAATTTAGTGTTTTTTTTTTTTTTTACTTGTTTTTGTTAGTTTGCACTCTATAATTTAGTTCCATTTTATAGAGTTTTTTAAATTATTGTTATTATTTGTTTATGGCTTCCAAACTTAATGTGCTAACTTGTTTAATTAATTTATTTTTGTTTTTTGGCAGCCTTAATTTTTTTTTTTTTTAGCACAGTTTATTGTTATTGCTATTTAGTGGTGCTTTCATGTTTAATACAGGTGGGTTGTAAAGGTTTTGTGTTTTAAAAAAAAAAATCTAAAATTAATATTTGGCCATATTTGGCTTTTTTTTTAGTTAGTTTCAAAGTCATGAAAATGTATTTTAGTTGTCAGTTTAGTTCCAGCTTTTCCCAGTTGTATTTTAATTCTATTAAATTCTATTGTGTTTGTTCTCATTTAGTTTTAATTAACGACAATAGCACTGATTTGTAATTACATAATGAGCAAATAGCAATGAACTAACCATTTACCGTCATTTAAACAAGTAGGACATAACAATCATCCAATCACCGGCCAGTCATTGGATTTTAGGGGTTGAGTTAGGGTGAGAGGTAGGAAAGGTATTGTTCCAGGAACAATAACGGATGTTTTTTCTCAGAACATGTGTAAATCACATTGTGCTGAGGGTATCACGTCTTCCTGGACTGTACTAGTATCACTCTGTAATTGGCTTTCTCTCCCCCCCCCCCCCCCCACCAACAACCCACCCA